TCTTTACAGCTGTGGCATTAAGGCTCCTGGTAGTGTAAAGAAAGACATCAGCTTTCTTGTTTACCAAAATAAGAAAATGAGGTATTAAGGTTGGCTTATTGCAAAATCATTTTTTTGTCATAAGCTTAATATAACTGGCAACATTACGAGACACCTATTATGCCAGAGTGGTAAGTGTAAGTTTTACGCTAACGCGTTCCTAGTGAGCGCGTTAAGAATTTGTATGGAGATTTATACTTCTTGGTAGTTACCGCTAGAGGCGCTGTACCGGATTCTATACTAAAATCTTAACGCGCTCACGATCGACAGTGAACGTAAACATCAAAAAAACTTACACTAAGCATTCTGGATCATGCCATACCTTACGTTCCGCACCCCGCGCTTTCTCCGCAAGCCCTTTGTAGTAGTTTAATATGATAAAACTTTTATTTAAAGTATTTCTGAGTGGATTTTAATGATATTTAGTAGAATACGTGTTTGACTCAAAAGTCTGCTGCATATATAGCGTGTTATATTTTTGCTTCATAAATAATTATCAAGGCTGTTGGTATGCAATATTCCCATGGAAATTTTCATTGGATTCAAAACAAAATATACTTAACGCAATATAGTAATATCGATTGAAGTCGTATTTCATTGTTAATATTATTGATTTTTTTACAAATATTTTTTAAATATATATTGTCCGTGTTTCTATAAAAATATGAGTTTCCAAATATAATATTAGGAGAATTTATGTATTTCATGGAAGTAACATAAGTAACAACGTAAAAATACGTAGAAGTCACTTTATATGTATTTTGCTTATCATGCCATTGAGAAATTAAAGGAATATTATTTTTTTTACTAATAATCCGAAAGAAAATGTCGATGGATTAATTCATATTTTAAAAAGGAAATATATGATACCTTCATAATAAAAAAAAAACAGCTGTTATGTTTTAATGTTTGATCTCCATACTGGAAGTTGCTATTTGTATCAGGCTAATATAAAATTCTTCCTTATATGTCTTCTATATAAAATTCTGCATATTGCGATCACTCCGTACAATAATAAAATACCAAGAATCACTAAATTTCTTCACTTCTTGTTTTGCGTAATTCGTATCGGGGGTTATCTCGAACACACCCATTTTTATAGTTCGTTATTATTTACATAACGTTATATATCACTAACATATTTTATAGCTTATTTATTTAATAATAGTGTCGGGGACGAATGTATGTGTTTAAATTAATTATAATATATATATTATTTTATAGTACATTGTTCACATAGTTTTGTTTCACTGTATAGTTCATATCTATATAACACTTTTATGAAATACTAGCTGACCCGACAGACTTCGTCCTGTCAAAAAGATTTGTAATGTGGCAGTTTTTTTGCCTACGTATTTAAAAAAATTCTCCTGAACAGAACCGACACCCTGGTGATAGGGCGTTGTGAATAAAAAATAATTAAATAAAACATATTACACAATTATTACAATTATTTTTTCACTAATCACGAACTAAACAAACACTAACTAAGTAAACACTCTGCACAAAACACGATATACGAATTTGTTTCGTGTATCAGTTGACAAAAGCAAACTCAGTAGATTAGGTCACAGACAACTTTTTTTTTTTTAAATTTGATATGACTTGAAGTCAAATCCTTTTAAGCCGTACGAATTGTTTTATTGATTTAAAATTTGGATATTAAAAATAATAAAACACTGTTGGTAACGCGATTTTTGTTTGACTGATGTAATGACGTGGAAACTGATGCATTTTATCTCGCGTGCCGAAACTAATACAAAAGAAACGCGAGTTTCGGAACACGACATTAAACTCCTCCAACTATGTATTCTGTGCTCCAACGCACACACGCACATTGTTTTGATAGATATGATCTTTGACGTTAGGAACACACCTACATTGCTTAGACAACAGTGAGTGCTTGTAATTTAATATGAACTTTATACCATAGCAATAAAGCTCAAATTGACTACGTTTTAGTTACAAATCATTTGTATGGGAAAAAGAAAAGGGCTATTTTTAGGGTTTTTCCAGCAATAATTCTAATTTTTCTCGCCGTAAAAACCATCCTTGAACTTCAACGAACATTTTAAAAAAAGATTTGGCCAAATTGTTCGAGGCGTTGTTGAGTTATGCGCTTACCAACACATTTTGCGATTCATTTTTATATATATAGATTTATTGTTCAATTTTTATTTCAAATTAGGGCGCTCGGCCCGGCATCGGCATTGCGCGGCGCACGCCGCCGCCCGGCGCGCGGCGCGCGTGCGCTCGCGTCCCGTATATTATTTACACTCCTATGGCCCGCTTGGCAGGGTCGCCATCTGATATTCGGATCGAGTTTAATTGAAATGAAATGAAAATATCTTTATTCAAGTAGGCTATTACAAGCACTTTTGAATCGTCCAAAAAAAACTTTTTTCCCCTACCACTTGTTCAGGACGTCTTTTAGCTGACAAGAAGAACAAGCGAAAGAAACTTATCAGCTTGTTATCATAAGTAATGACATTTACATAAATCATGTCATTACCAAAATAATATGTATTATCAATTTATCACAATAGTAATTAAATAAAATACGTTCGTTCACGATAAGCGACGTTTATTAACTAACTCATTAGCATTACACCACACAACCCCCTCCCCCATCCCCCAATCTCACGTGAGATTTTTCAAAATGTGGGAATTTTCAAATTCAATCATAGATTATTTTATGGAAGCCAAATTAAAAAGTAAAAGTATATAAATGAAAACCAAGGAGTAAATATATATATATATATATACTAGGGAAATGAAAAGACTTTAAGTTAAAACGCCAAATGCAACGCCTATATTATATAGTATATACTGTTTGCCAAGAATACTCAATACCGCTTTTGAAAGTATCGATACCTAAGTACTCGGTATCGAAAGTATCGTTCGAATTTCGTTCGAACCCTACAATTAAGGTGGTTTGACATTCAGTAGATGTATAAAAAAAATTGCGTGATATTTGCCGAGACCCCCCTCTCTCTCTCAAACGTAAGATCAGATGAGATTTGACTCGACCCCCTTAAACATCTCACGTAATTTATGGACGCCCCCTTACGTGCATCGTACGCAGAGATGTGACTTATCTTAGATACAAGTATTTGAAATACAGATACAAGATACAAAATACGTATTTTCATCTTGTATCTAAAATACTTTTTTTAGCAAGTATTTTGTATCTTGTATTTAAATACTTTTGTTAAGTATCTTAGTATCTTTTAAATACTTTTTCTGATAAAATACTTTATAAAAAGAATATTTCTTACATTTTATAAATATCACAAAACATTCTTTGCCTAAAACATACATATTTACAAAAAGAAAGTGTTCAATTATCAACGCAATGAATATTTAGATAAAAATAACTCGAATCCAAACATTGTTTGGTGTCATTTAAAAAGTAAATGCGTAGAACTGAACGTACGGTTATACCGGTGTAATACACCCTCCCTATATAGTAAAAATTGATAGATGGCGCATAGGGCTTGAAATCGAATAACCAGTTACAAGCAATAAAAAATCTTGATTTATGTAAAAACCCGATTATATGCTATAAATAAAACTCAGTATATCAATTAAACTCATTATTAAATTTTTTTTTTTTTGCACATTATACTTTTTCCACTAACAACAGCATTCAAAAAGTTTATTTTTAAAGAAATTTCACTGTGAAATTCGATACATGGCAAATGGTTGAAATTATATCCCGTGAGCAAAGCAATATTGCTTTTATTGACTCAACAGTTAATCTTTTTCTATCTTTTGACTATTGCATATTCATGAGCGAAAAAAAAACAATATTCGCATTATAAGGCATAATACAAAAAAATACTGACAAATCTTCAGTAGTTCGGAAACGAGTGCTGTCATTGCATATATTGAAAATAATTACCCACTGCTTTTCAACTAATACGTCATAAAAATAAATTTGTTAATAGAAAAAGTTAACTAAAAGTTAAATAAAAAAAGAAACAAAATGTTTGTTTATTATGCCAAAAGTATATAAACTTGCTAGTCTAGTGAAGAAAAATAGCAATATGTATAGAATTACATTCGCTATTTTTATGAAAATATATAAGTAACAGACAGACAGACGTACGGTGCAAACATCATATCAATAATTAACTAATATAACTATCTAACATCCGATAAATGCTCTTGTCTGAAATCGGCGGAAATCAATAATGTTAAGCAAATAGATATATGTCCTAGGGGGTTATCATCACTTGGAACCTCTAATGCAGCGTTCGAAGGCATTCCAATTAAATAATGTTATTTTAAATACATTAAAAACCTTCGATATAAATTATTACTGATGCACATGTTCACATTACTTTGGTGCTATGTACATATCTCATATACGAGTCGCTAATAAGGAAGCATAACCTACGTCACTGTTTAGTACAATCACGTACTAAAATTATTTAAAAAAATTCACACTTGCGTTTTTTTTATATGATTAAATTAATCCAATATTGAAAAGAGAATGATAACGATAATATATTTTGTACATTTCCATATCTTGATTGATGGAAGTCGCATTATAACCATTTTATCGTCTTTAAACAGACACACTGGAAAGACTCTTCATTAATTAAATATATAAGGATAAAGAAAAATTATACGATCCTCGATCCCATCTCACAGTACCGGGGACAAAGTGGGTTTTTTAAGCATTTTCTATTAAGAATAAAATTATACGAACTAAATTAGGTAATCATTTTTACGAAGATTTTGTGTATTTCCTGTTCCCTGTTAACTTCAACAAATCTTTTGTCTGAGATTTTTTTTTTCTTACAATGTACCTAAAACTTCATGAGTTTTACGTCTCGGTTTGAAAAATCGTGATACCGAGACTGTCTGTTACAAAACTTTGCTTGTGATTTTATGATAATTTTTTATTTTGCACTTGATTTTAGTTAAATTTCAAAATAAATTCAAAAATAAACCTGGTAGTACAAGGTAGGAAGTCTGGAAGCCAGATTCGCTGAGCCTCTGCCTCCAAAAAGCGGTATCGTGGAGTTGTGGGTATCCTCTAATGAGATTCTCGAATGCTCCTTTTTGAGGTATTAAAACTGAAAAAAAAACACATCCGATGTAATTCAAGAATTTACAAAACCGATAGCGGATTTTCCAATTGGCATTCCGAGATGATCTTTAAGATTCCGTACCCAGAGGGAACAACTGAACCCTAATACTGAGATTCTGCCATTCAACCGTCAGTTCGTCTGTTGCCACAGGAGTGTAAGTTTTCTGCATACATACGCAACGATATGTACTCATAACCTTTCGCAATCCGAGCGAATGGTCTTCCTTATTTTCATTGAAGATATTTATCAGTATAGCATTATGAATGCAAAATTGATCAAATATAATAAATTAAAAGGTTGTATAATAAACAGAGGTCGGAATTAGGTAGAGTTATTTATGTACTTGCATCGAAATGTTGATATTAATGTGGACCTTCCCGGGATTTCTTTATTTCTTCTTTCTTTATTTCTTTCTTTCATTGACGTAAATTTGGCAACGTCGTGCGTGCAGTAGTTTAAATTGTGTAAAAGTAAATAACTTTTTATTTAAAAAATCACGGATTTTTTCTGCTCTTTAAAATTAATCTCGGGATTTGAGGCATATCCACTTTATTCTTTCGCTGTATGAAATCAGTGTAAGTACATGAATAACTCTACCTAATTCCGACCACTGATAATAAATAATAATGAACATTATTGCGTATTAACCTGTGTGTAAGTGAGTTAGAGTTAGATGTGAGGTCACCTTAATGTGGACTTATATAAATATAGGTACAAAATTAACATCAATTGTTTTGAACACAACTGTACATATAAACATAAAAATCCTAGTTTTACGTTGTAGAATTTATATTACAACAAGAAATTAGCGTAAACTAGATGTTTTTTCGATAAGTATAAAGTGTTTTACCGATAAGAATGTGTATGTTATGGTTCTTATCGTTTGATAAATAACCATTATACACTTGTCTTTATAACTACTGTATTTCATCATTATATTTCAGACTGCACATAAAAACAAATAGATAATAAAAAGAGACGAAACCAACGGACCAGTCAGTGAGATTGATAGAGACACAAACGTACTACGTATTTTTTTTTTTATAATTTAACTCTCAAAATTTCAATTATTGTAAAATTTTTCAATCCTAACCTGAGGCCAGAAATTATCAATATTTCCTGTAGTTAATAGTTTAATGGCGAGTAGAAATGTAAACTAATATTATAAAGAGGTATAGTTCCTAATTGTATTCTTTGTAAAGGTCATCTTCCATAATACTGAACCGACCATGAAAATTCTTTCACCTACGGGAAGCTATATCCAACGCGGATGCTAAAAGCTATAATTTATACGGGAAACAGCTAATAAACTTTAAAAAAAACTCGCGCACGAAGTGATCCGCACCATTATCCATTAAAAAGGTAAACCAAAATTCGATTTTTAGTATTTGTTGTTATAGCGGCAACAGAAATACATCATATGTGAAATTTCAATATTCTAAGTATAGTAGTTCACGAGATATAGCATAGTGGCAGGACAGTGGCTCGTAAGCTTTGGAAAAAAAAAATTGTAATCGGTCCACAATTCGCGGAGAAATCGGTGATCGGTGACAATTTTTTATGTATGATTGTTAATACATATATATAAAAAACATACATAAATATACATAACCATCCAACATAGAACCTCCTCTTTTTCGATTTTTAATTCTGTTAAAAATAAGACGAAATAATTAAATATCAGAAAAACTAAGGGAACTATTAAAAAACCAGAGATGTTTTTTTATATTATATATATTATGTCATAAGTTTTAGGCTAGACATGGAGATGAGAGGAACGATCGTAAATTTTGCCCTTTTCATGATGATTTTCTTGTTTATTGCGATTCTTACAATAAGCACTTTTATGTCATATGGTCAAAGATATAGTTTGAAAAACTTTCATTAAGAAATTCCAATCTTAGCCATCTGGCTAGTATCTACTTGCTTACAAATATCAATAAAACCAAATATTAGGCATCTTTTCAGTAGAAACTAAAACGGATATCTTTTACAAAATATTTTTGAAACGACAAAGTACATTCGTGAATGAGTTTAAAGTAAATCAGTTAGAAATATGATATAGTTTAAAATAACTAAGTAGGTATATTTTATAACTAGGTACTCTGAAAATTAATATTTTATTTTATAAGCTCTAAAATTGAGCGGCAGCAGACTGTTCAAAGAGCTTGGCATGATTGGTCAATTTTTGTATATTTGACACTGTCTACCCTCTGTCTGTCAGTCAATTCATCATGTTTTACTATGCTCATGATCAGCACCAGAAACGCATCCGACGCGGATGAAGTGCTTCAACTAGTTCATATCGCGACCATTATGACCGTATAAAATTATAAGGACGACAGATCTTTCAATTGAGGGACCAAATTATTGGCGCGAGATTAACAACCACGGATCTAATAACTTCGGTGCTATTAATCAGATTTTTCCTGAATTACCGAAATATACAACAATGCGTTATACAAGATCTATCCGGCATTAAAAAAAATCACTTTCGACTTACGCGGTTTCGTTATATAAGAGACACAGTGGAAATAATATTGTTTTTATACGTTAAAAGACTTATCAATCAATTTGGATACGCATAATATCCACAACTATAGGTACGTTTAAGAAATTGTTAAACAAATCTCATGTAAGTAATAAAATGACGCGGGCATAAAAAGATAACATTCAGCAGATAAGTAATAAGTACAGTTATTACAATAACGTAAGATAATTTGTCAATTTACTAATAAAAATAAATCTCATAAATTATTTATCTAATTAACGCAGGCCCGTCTTTACCCATAGTGCAACGCACCCGGGCGCCGTTGGGGGTACCGCACCGATGATCTTCGGGAAATTCCCTGCAATGAGGGGGGGGGGGGCTTATGAGCTTAAGACGGGCCTGAACTAACGTGTCGTTAATAAGAAAATTTATGAGCATTGTTTTGAAACCTTAATATCAATATAGCATTTTGAACGTAAACTTCAAACATAATGCCATCATCTTTATTAAATTGTTTCGCTGACTGGCCTATTTTAAACTAGTTTTGAACTTATTGTCTCTTAATCTACATACAGTCTATAGTTTTCAACATCTTTTTGAACAGCAACTATGAGTACGGTTACGAACAGAAATTCTTCATCTGAAAACCTCACCAGCAGTTGTAAGAGATAACAATAAATTAACTTAAATTTATAATCTTCAATAGTATTTATTATTTATAATAATCAAAAGAAAAATTAATTTATATACCTGAAGCACTTTAGAATCGGCTACTACAATCGGAGTGGGACAACAAAGAGCAGACTAAATTTATTTAATTTGTTATTTATTATAAAACTCTTATTTAATTTATAAAGAAATAACTTCAACTTTTATCATTTTTTGTTATCTTCCCCTTTTCCCTTTACTTTTCGACTAAGTCAGTGTTTAAGACAAAAACATTTGTCGAAGTTCATGAAACAACAAACGAAAGCACAATTCTACGTATTTTCAAAAACGTATTTTTAGTGGCTTCACATTTTTGGTATGTATTTATAATATCTAGAGATATTAATATCATTAGTTTTTAGGTGTTTGTTTTTATAGCGACCACAAAAATACAATATATCATATGTGAAAATTTTAACTGTGTAGCTATCACGAATCATGCATGAGAGACAGCCTGGTGGCAGACAAACGGACAGCGAAATCTTAGTAATAGAGGGCCCCCTATTTTCTTTTGGGTACGGAACCCTTAAAACCAGTTATTATTTACTACACAATTACTTATTTTGATAGTTTATCTTTTTTTAATTTTCCATGAGTAAGTTTATCATTGTATCGAATATTAGAAATGAATTATTTTTATAAAAAATTAAATCCAACCAACCCAACTTTCTTAATAAAAACACTAAACGGATTGCAATATACGAAATACAAAATATACTAGTTTAAATAAAGCTGGAGAAACATTACATACTAACCTCCTTCTCGATTTTTCACCATCCCTATAGTACCACCTGTGTACAAAACAAGTACTCTCCTCTCGTTCCTCCCTAAGCTTTTTACTGTGCTAGAACTACTTATACACAATTCCATAAAACTTCGACTTTTCTTCACATTGGCCACCATTTTTGAATTACTTTTGCTGTCATTTTCCCGCCTAGTTTCACTTGTTTGTGGCTCTATGCCATTCGCGCGTTCCATTTCACTGTTTTTTTTAATTGCGTAAGGAATACAATTTATTTCGTCTGAAATTAAAAAAAAAATAAGACGAACGTTCCCTGAGAAATCTTGTTGCGAACTGAAGCCGGTTCTTGCGTTGTGGATGACCTATACAGTATTACGTAAAGTTACCCACTGATTAAAAACGAAATAACGAACAATACTATTTTAATGTACAGTTCTGGTTGGTGGCAAATAGTTCGGCAGGTGTTGTTCAAGTAAGCAGTAATGTATAGAAAACATCACGATTTTCACCATATCATCGTCACATAGTTAAGACTTCCTTAATGAAACTAAAAATATTTTTACCACGTGCTCGGCACATACCAGATAAAGCCAGTCTTGAAATTAGGTATTTCATCTTTATTAGATCGTTAAGCACTTTTTATCATTATCTAAAATCTAATCCATAAATCACATCAATTTGATGCATTTTTATAAACAAGTTTATTATAGAATTAACGAGACAATATCAATCATTACCAAAATGCCACTTAATACACATAAATATTGGAATGCGAAGGCTTAAAATAAGAAAGAAACTATGAACCTCAAATAACTATGTAAACATAACCAATATTTAATGGACTTTCATGAAACCTCTTTTATTGTTTTGTAAATCTATACAAAGTATTAAAAAAATGCGTTCCCTCAGTCAGTTAAACTACACAACGAATTTTGATACGGTTTTCATCAATATACAGATTGATTTAAGAGTAAAGTTTGTATGTATAATACAGGACCACGTGGGCTTAGCCGCTGGCGGAAAGCTAGTCTTTATATAAAAAAGTTATTATTTTTTTTTTTATAATATCGTCGTTTTCATCTATTTTTTATGAAAATCCCGATGTTTAAATTACAATTACCATTCAGAAATAAATTTGTATCAATATCAGTGTCATACAGTGTTTTCAGTGTCAGCAGGCTAGGGAAATAGTAAAAGTAACAGTCGGCTAAAGCCACGCTAAGGCCGAATTTACATTACGAAATTACTGGCATGAAATTAGTTTCATTACATCAATTTCGTATAGTGTAAACGCCCAATTTCACAATGCATGCATAGTTTTATGATACATGAAGTAGTGCCGCGAAGTTAATGTTTTTGCTACCCAATTGCATACTCTTGCTGGCCAAATACCTACTGAAAGACACATTTTAGTATTCAATTGATATAATTAACTCGGAAGTGTATTGGCGCGAAACTGATCAAACGTCAAAGCATCTTATAATTATCTTATAGGCTGTTTTTTTGTAAATACAATTTTAAGATGGCATACCAATTATTGAGTTGGAGAAAAGTCTTTTCGCATATAGTGTGCATAAACTTGTAATAAAATGGTTTCGATATCATTAAAAATAATTAAATTTTAAAGAAGATAACTACGAATGCAAATTAGGGAAATGGAGGATTTTCATTTGTTTTTCTTTCTGTCAAAAAGAGTAGATCTAATGAAGAGATTCGATACATTTGAAAATTTTATTACAAAAAAGGTAAAAATGTAACGCTTGTCGCAAAAAAAAATTGTGACGTTTATGGACTTAGTGCAGTGTCTGCAAGTCAAAGATGCGCCGGTCGCCCTGGGACGGATAAAATGGATGCCATTTTTGGAAAAGTGGAGCAAAATCAGCATTTCAGAAGTTACGACGTAGCTGAAGAACTGGAGATCGACCACAAAACAGTTTTGACGCATTTGAAACAAAGCTTGAAACACAAAAAAGTTGGATTTTTGGGTACCTCGCGAGCTCACTGAAAGATACCTAATGAACCGTGTACTCATTTGTAATTCTTTATTACGGTATAGTAAAACCGAAGCATTTTTGAAGAAACTGATAACTGGTGGAAAAATGGATCACCTACGACAAGAATGTTCGAAAAAGGTCATACCTAGTCAAGGGTCGGTCAGGCTTCACAGACTGTGGCGAAACCCGGGTTAACTCGCAACAAGGTGATGCTGTGTGTATGGTGGCATCGGAGGGGCATTATTAATTATGAGCTGTTAAGATTAGGCAGGACCATCGATTCTGAACTCTACTACGAACAACTGATGAGATTAAAGCAAGAAGTTAAGAGAAAGTGGCTAGAATCAATAAATAGAAGGGGTGTAGTTTTTCATCACGATAACGCTAGACCTCACACATCCTTTGTCACTTAGCAAAAATTAAGAGAGTTTGGCTGGGAGACGTTATTGCATTCGCCGTATAGTCCGACCTTCAGATTATATGCTTGTCTATACCTATAATTAAAGCAAATTATACTCTTAATCTGAAAAAATAGGATTATAAACCAATTATGTATATTTGGTATGCCTACTTATTGATATATTAAACAAACTAATTTCAGTAATGAAATAAATCAACATTCTAAGTTATTTTTATGCTATCGGGAAGTTCCGAGCCATTCGCCCTTATGGAGTGGTGAGACAATGGGAATTCTCGGCTTATTAAATGTAACTGAAAGGTTTTATGAATTAAATATTTTGATTATCATGATAATATTTTATTACTTACTGGAAAGTATTTTGTCTGTTAAATAGTGTTAAATTAGTCCAGAATATTTTATTGTTGAATTTTACGATTAAAAAATCCTTATTCTCAGCAACTGAAATAAATATATATTTGACAATGGCGTTGTAACCATAGAGCCATAAATAATCAAACAAAACAGACTAGATATTTATGCCATCGGCTTCGCCCGAATGGTATTTAGCAAAATTTTGTCCTATTTTAATTTTTTTAAGTGTTATATTTTTCTCGGTTTTTCAATATTTTCAGCTCGAGATGTGGCTTGATTGCTCCTCGGAGAAAAAGCTGTGTTGCTATAACTAAGCCGAGCCCCTTCATGGTAAACGGCTATCGTCTCGACATATTACCACCTAGATAAAAATATATGACGCCTGCACCAGAAAAGAGTCTTGCGTAAACGGTAGTTTCATGTAGTGTTTAAATACCCTTTGGGTATTTATTTATTTAAGGACAGCTTACAAGACAATACACTGATAATAGCATTATTACAATAATAAAAAAGCTTACTTACTCTATAAGTCTTGCTTGGTTCTCCCTTCAGAGTCCTTATTCTGAAGTTCTTCTTGAGGGTTTAATCCATTTTTTGTATAAAAAATTGTAACAAACAAATGTAATATTGTATACGAGTATAATAGTCGCGTCACACACGTGCACATTTCATTTTACATGTAGAAATTAATTTATTCACTTGACATTAGCAGCCATTAATAAAAGAAGAAATGTAACATAACTTTGGTGACAGAAAATATTGTTCCCAACATTTTCCAAAAACAGCCAAACAGCATGAAGTTTAATGGTTTTTGTTTAGTATAATTAATATAAATAAATGAATCAATTGAATTGAAGCCCCTTTTTAATATCGGTTATAAACAAAGTAAAGAAAAATATAATGTATCCAAACTTCTTGGTTAGAAGAGTCAATGCAATCGAAACATTTATTGGTTATTACTGTGGTACATAAATTTATCTATCTATACTTATAATAAATCTGTAGAGAGGTCAATTCTGTACATGAAATATATTTCCAAAATAACTATCAGGGGGTGATTAGGGATCGATACTGATGCCAAAAATGCAATCAGTAAAATTTTTGTCTGTCTGTCTGTATAACCGTTATAGAAACAAAAACTACTCGACGGATTTTAACGAAACTTGGTACAATTATTTTTCATACTCCTGAGCTGGTTATAGTATACTTTTCATCACGCTACAATCAATAGGAGCAGAGCAGTGAAGGGAAATGTTGGGAAAACGGGAGAAGTTACTCCATTTTTTAAGCTTCCGTCGCGTGTGCAACCTTAATGGTTAAAGCTACCCAGAAATCATGTATGACGGAAATGTTCTCCTTAAAATTATATAAAAAATATCCCACGACAGCATATGTCTATCTTTTATGGTTGACTCACAATAACACGTGTAACTCCCGATAGCTTAGCAGTTCGAAGCTTTCTGATTGTATTTGTCTATTGTCTACTCTTACGTTTATAACACTCTCAGTCATCCCTAATTAAAAAAGTTAACAGTATTAAGTATTCCATAAAAAAGAATCATAGAAATCGGTATAGAAACACCAAAGTTATACATGAAATACGCTAATAATAAGCCATCGCGCGTGAATACTGAATCATGCTAGAAGGATTGTTCTGGCCAGTATTTCATCTATACTAATATTATAAAGCTGAAGAGTTTGTTTGTTTGAACGCGCTAATCTCAGGAACTACTGGTACGAATTAGAAAAATATTTTTGTGTTGAATAGACCATTTATTGAGGAAGGCTTTAGGCTATATAACATCATGCTGCAACTATTGGGAGCGAAGAAAAAATGGAAAACGCGGACGAAGTCGCTGGCAGCCACTAGTTGCTACATAAATCTAATAAAATCCTAAAGTAAAACAATACATACTTTAGAATCGTAAACGATATTAAAAAACTATTAAAGTTACAAAAGTCCATCAGATATATTGTGGCTGAAACCAATTTCTTAATTAATTATTCCTAATAGTAAAAAAATTGGTTTATTACAAAAACTATTAAATATATTACATAATATTAATTAATGCATCATCTACATTAAAAAGTGTGTTCCGATCCGGTTTGTGTAGTGACCTAATGTAAAAGTAAATAGGGTTACCAAAAATAGTAGGGAAGATGACTGGGTATAAAAAATGCAATTTTATTTCATCCGTCAGGCAGATAATAGAAAAATATTAGATACGTATTTTTTTTTAATTGAATAATGAATAGCATAGACTATAGACATTAAAGTTAAGGGGCGAGGCTCGCTAAGTCACATCTATGTATAAAACGTACAAAGTTGTGACGGCATGCTACATTTCTACTCAACATATCGTAATTTATTAATTAGGCAAAAAATTTAATAATACTTGTTTAATAATCTACCTGACGGCCAGACAAACAAATTTAGTCAACATTCCTGTTCTTTCTGCTAGTTGTTTTTTGAACAAATTATCACCAATTCACCAGACACCCCAGGGCTGGACCCCAAGACACAACATTTAAACTTTTGCAATATTTTTAATAGAAAATTTATTTAATAAGAAATGACTACTAAAAGTACATTAAATATATGTTAATTATATCTACTTTTGTTATAAAAAAATCTGAGGTGGGAGCAGACTGTCTCTCTACCCACTTCTTCGCCCATAATTTACATTAAATAAATGCCTAAGACATTCTCTACCAGTCAACCTGAACAGATGTTGGAGATCAGTTTTACTTGGAAATTTATTATATTTAAATACGAAGAATAGTCAAAGATAACTCAAGTATCTAGATAATAGACTACGAGCATCAAACTGAGATTTGTATCACTGGCTTGCAAACGAATAATTCACAACATTAAACGACAAAAACAAAATTATTTAATAGCATTTGTCATAAGAGGCAACCCTATTAATGAGTGCCGGTAACAGTACTTAGGGCACCTATTAAATTACTAGCTCTCGAGTATCCTCGCAGTTTTCTGTGCAACGTCGAGCTCACACCAGAGCTGCTGAGTAGAGAAACAGTGTACTGTGTATAAAAAAATAAAATGGTAAGTAAAATGTTTTGTTATTTTGATTTAATTCATAAGTCGAAATTATAGTCGCAGCGTCTCGGCGCACTTTCAGTAGAGTTTTGATTCGACAGTGATAATTCAAAGAGTAACATAGATGTAGGTAAGAGAGATCAAAGACTTCTACTGTACCGTAGAAGTTTTTTACTATATAGCCTCCTTTTTGGCCAGTTGGCACTTTATGGCGGTCTAACTAATATGCAAAACTAACCATCTTTCATTCATTTCATCTTTATTTTACAAGTCGAAATTAACTTATTCACTTGACATTGGCCGAATTGTGCGAAATGCGCAGATAAGCCATTAATAAAAGAAGAAGAAGAAGAATACCGTTGACAACGTCATCTGTCAAAGCTCACATCCGCGCCTTCCGCGTAACGATTCTGTAAATAATTCAAATCCGAATTAGAATTCACTCAAATGTCTGAATTTACTTCAAAAAGCAGCATCCGCTCAACCTTAAATTGGTAATAACGTTTCGTGGCAAAAGCGAAGTGAGTTTCGAAATGAGATAAGAATAGAGGTAGAATATCCGTGACACATACATTCAATCAATTTTGTTTTGTATTTTTAAACAAAAAAATGGAATCAATAGAATTTCTACACTACATGACGTGAATTCTGACACATGAGTGAATTCGGGTCTGGATTTTTCAGAATCGCAGGGCAGGTCACTTAAAGTCAACTGTCTTAGTAGTTCTACTTTTATTCCCAAAAGACTTATTGCTTATGGCTCTTACTCCTTGCACTATTGTATTTCAAACAAAACTCTACTGACAGGATGACGCCACCGCTGCGACTATACATCGATGCGTAGTGGTTAGTGCGTTCAGTATGTGATTGTGGACATTATGCATCTTATGCGAATATTGGTTACCAAAAATGGACCATCTCGAACTCCTATTTCACATAAAACCCGCTGCTGTGATAGTATATGATTTTTCTCCATATATAATTCTACCCTCAATATTGGGGACATTATAGTATCAACCTTCAGATTTTCAGAGATCGTCATCAGATTTTGCATTGAAACTTAAACAAAATGCAATTGTACGCAAATTGTCTTGAAACATATTGACATCCATACTAATATTATAAACAGGACATACCTACTTCAATGTTTGTTTGCATCTGGACTGATTTTAAAAATTCTTATAGGTACTTGCGGGATACGCAGGTGACTATAGATAACTAGGAAGTCCCGGGAAAACCGCGTATTGTAATATTTGTGTAGACACGAAAATATTTAAGTACCTATCTCATAGTCGAGCTCGAAGCAATTTTTTGAACAGAAATAGGACCGCCGCATAGAAAGTACCTGTTAATACTTAAATAAATGCTAATAAGTAAGTGAGCTTTAGTCTTACCCAATAAATTATATAATAATTTGAGATGTATTCACTTATATTGTTACCGAACCAATATAGTTTATACTTGAGCGCTGAGTGTAAGTTTTTTTATTAATCGCGATCGCGATCGCCTATAGATTTTGGTATGGAATCGCCACTAGCGGGAACTTTCAAGAACTACAAATCTCCATACAAATTCTTAAGGTGCTCACTAGTGAATGGTTTAACGTAAAACTTACTCTTGCCACTCTGGTACTAAACTATAGCGTAATATGTATGTATATTTTGCAGGTTCACTTCAGCGTGAAAGGCATTATAGCACCCGTGTTCGCTCCCATCGACGAACATGGCCAACTGAATTTAGATGTCATACCTGAATACGCGAAGCATTTGAGCGAAAACCGTGTTGATGGTGTAGTCGGTAAGAAACTATCCACAATTCCACGTTTCCGCGCTTGTCCCCAGAAAAAAATAGGGCACTTAGTGTTAAGTTTCTTTTACGTTTACGTTCACGTTACGATAAACTCGTATTGTATCTAATCCGGTACAGCGCCCCTAGCGGTAATTAACAAGAACTACAAATCAGCATACAAATTCAAAAACGCGTTTCCGTAAGTTTCCGCGTACCCTTCCCACGCAGATTTTGTAAGTTAGTATTAAGAGGACACATACAATCAAAATCTGATTACAAAGAAATAACGTCCAAATAGGTTGCAACAATGATACAATCAAAATCTGATTTTATACAAAGAAATAACGTCCAAATAGGTTGCAACAATGATACTTATTATACTTGTCTACATACGAAATACATACCAAAAATGTGAAGTTATTACAACTAAGTCTTAGTTGACACGTTCTTCATTCCATTACTCATTCAACTCCCACCGAGAAAGTAAAAAAAAATTGCTGCGCAAAAACGATGAAATAGAGCGGAAAAAATACGATTCTCTTTAATAAATACTCAAAAAATGAAAAGAATATTACGTTTACATATTATATATTATTAACAGATAAAAACAACATTAAAGATAGTTTCGGAAAATAAAAATATTTAATTTAAAAAAATAATAATAATATTTTGTTGTTAGTAGTTCTACCAGTCGGACGTCTCGTTAATAGTTCTACGGATATACTCAAAACTCTCGTGGGTATACATCTCCGTTTTGTCCTACGACTTTCCCCTATGCAAACTGTAGGTATATAATCTATGGCTTTGAGTTGTATCGTTGAAGCTATTTTTTAAGCAATTTGGATTTTTTCTTTACACTCGACCTCAGATTTCAAAAACGTCATTAACTATTCAAGCTTTCCGCAGTTAGAACGTTTGACTGTCTTTCGCACATATTCTGTCTTTGTTTAATTTAAAGTTTAATCGTAGATATGAGGTAGACAAACACACTAAACCTATTTATATCGTATAGTATAAATGTTATTTGTAAAGCTACGTCCTTATTTCGAAAAATTTGCTTTTTGCGCGTCTTCAGCTTCTCTAGGTGTTAAACTCATTGAGAAACATTAATCAAAATTTACCTCTTAATTATATATTTTTAAAAAGCATATAATAAGCGCCCGCAATGCAAATTATATGTTTTTTAAAGTGCTGTTTGTCAATTTCGTTTACAATTCGCAGAGACATCGGACCCGTCTAATATAGAACCTACTCTTCTAGCTTGAAGTCACAAGGTTCGCAAGTCACAAGAATTATTACCTATAATGTAAATTAAAGCAAAGTAATTTTTTTCAGTGGGTGGCACGTCAGGAGAGGCGATGTGCTTATCGGTGGAGGAAAGACAGAGCCTATTGGAAGCCTGGATAAGCTCAGCCAGGCCTCTTGGCCTGAAGGTGATGGCGCAAGTCGGTGGAGCACCAATGCCCGATGTTTTGGCACTAGTAAGTAGATAGACGGAGTAGCTCGGTGGCATAATGGATAAACGCCGCGGCACGCGATCATTGTAGTTAAGCAACTTTTGCAAGGGTCTGTCACGGGATTGGTGACCAAAAAAATACTATATCAAGACACTCCACAGCCGTGACTAACGGCATAAACTCCAAGGAAGTTTATGCCGTTAGTCACGGCTACATTAACAGTCATTAATACCCTCCAATCCGCATTGGGCCAGTGTGGAAGGTCTTGGCCCATCTTCCTTAACCGTCCATAAAGAAGGCCTATACACCTTCATAGAGAAGGCAAAAGGGCTGAGGAAGATGATGAAGTAATGGCCAATCAAATTGGCAAATAGGAAATCATACATCAATAAACAACAGTCGACAGGCAAGAGAAGGCCAAATGCAGGTGTTTTAAAGTTGGTTCAAATCTGACTGAAGATTTGACAAATCTCATGGAGTATTGTATTGATTCGTACACACAAGGCAGCCGTTCAGGCTACCACAATATGTCAAATTCCCCCCTCAAATGATTTTGACCTTCACCTAGGTACAATGCATTAGGCTTTTAAATCAACTGCATAAATGCCGTGCTGTTATCTGTAAATAATTTCCATCTTCTTCATATATGCACCGACCCTTAGACGAGAAATAGTCCTTGCTATAGGAATAGGAGTATACTGTATTACTGTGTGGTTATAGGTTATGAAAAAAAATGTTTAACAAAGTGATGTTGTATAATAAACTACTCTGGTTAACTGACGTTTTAATATGATCAGCCTAATTCGACAAAATTCTTAATGAACCTCGTGCCCACAAGCTATCGAATAAAAATTTCAGAATTGATGATACGTGAACAAAAATATCGTCGACAATAGAACCTTCTCCTTATCGATTTTGAAATCTGTTAAAAAAGAAAGTTTCTAATAAAGATATCAAAATATTAATTGAACTATTAGAGTTGAAACAGAATTTCAAAGTACATAACAATATACAAATGTTCCATTTTTTAGGCGAATCATGCAGAGCTGGTGATGGCAGACGGCATGATGACGCTCCCAGAGTTGTACTTCAAGCCGAAGACGCCAACAAAGCTGGTGGACTACCTGGAGGAGATCTCGGCGGCCGCACCTACCGTGCCACTCATCTACTACCATTTCCCGGCTATGAGTGGAGTCGACAGTGAGATTCTTACTTAATTTCATGACTTTGCAAAATGAGAGCAACTGAATTTATTTTTACACCTATACCTATAAATACCTATGTTAGTTCAGTGAAGTATTCGTCATTCAAGAAAAATTTCTTAGATTATTATAGTTTTGATAAATTTTCCTTCATAATGAAAAATGCTTGAAAGTTTGTTGTATAAAGCAATTACCTAGGTTTTGTTAATGTAAAATGGAAATTACCAAACATTAAATAGAACCTATAACGAAACATCGTAAATTCTGTGAAAATAAAAACAAAAATTACTGGACGACCATGAAATAACACCAGCACACAATTTCCATTTGCAGTGAACATGCCGGAGCTTTACAGGGAAGCCACCAGAAGGATTCCCAACTTCAAAGGTTTTAAGGCAGACCTCAACGTAGCTGTACAACTGGAGGAACTTCTAGCCCCAGACCACAGAGTTTTTATAGCTAATCATGTAAGTAGGACTAATAATATAATTAAGGGTATGAATTAATTTTAAAAAAATGTTCATAAAAAAACGGGCGCCCAACGTGGGACCTTCATGGGACTATTATTTTGTATTATTGGAATGTGCAATCCGAATAGAAATGGAGTCGCTATTATGTTGGACCACATAGTCCATTTCGGCCAACGGTATTAGTTACAATGGTCAACAAAAATCGGTCAATAAAGGATTCCGCATAAATATTAAATTTAAAAAACGATAGATTTCTTATCTTTATAAAATAGATTTACCTATATTCTATAGGCAAAGGGTTATTTTCCGCATTTCCCTTCAAAATTTTAGTTTGAAGAAGTTTGTTTTCATTATGATTTGATATATTTCAGTTATTGGCTCCATCTGTGCTGATGGGTCATGCGTCGAGCATCGCGACAGTAACCAACTTATTCCCATCTCTGATCCGCGACCTCGTAGACTCCGCGAGCAGTTCGAACCCGCCCACATCACTCATGCGCAAGCAATCCAAACTAAACTCGATGGTTGCCGCTATCACGGACCAAGGGAAATGTATGTTATTTTGACTATTTGAATTTCTTTTCGTACGAATATACAAAGAAAATAATGGTCACATGTCCATCAGTCCAGCAGCGCCACCGTCTTGGAATTTAAAATTAATTCTGGACTTGAGCATCAATTTGTGCGAAACAGGGACGTATTAAGAAAACAAGTACATAGTTTCAATAATCAATAAGCTTTAATCCGAATAGAACTAAACAAACTTCGAAATTTTTAAAACTCGAGAGTGGCGTTACGCTGCTGGTCTTACGGATACAGCGATTATTAAAAAGACAATATATTTTGCCCTATCAATATATCTAAAAATATCATTGTAAGTTTGTTGCTGGCAAAATAAATAATAATTCGGAAGATATGCATAACATTCACAATTGTCCTTTTTTAATTTGTACATTATCTATTTAAAAATAAGTACTAAAAATATTTGCAGGGGAATTCGTACCAAGTATGAAGGTGGCGATGGAATTAATCACCGGCATCTCAGTAGGTGACCCCAGGAAACCGCTCACTGCTTTGGATCAACAACAAAGAGACATCATGGTCATGCGTTTAAACAAAATAATCGGCAACTAACCTGAGATTTTACATAAATAAATAACTTTCAAACGTTTGTTTTATTATGCTAATATTGAATTTAGTTACGTAAACAATACTCACTGCTGCAGTGCAATTCTGTAAAATACAGAATAGAGGTTCAATTATATAAAACCTACTTCAAATGGTAAAAAAGATTTATTTCGCTGAAGATCTCGTGACTCTGTGTTCGATGTTGTAGTTTACAGCATAGATAAGCATACGTTTAACGTTTTACTAAAATGCAAAAGGCATAGTCATAGTCTTTACGTACTCAAATATTGGTGAGATATACTAGGGAATGCAATCTCGCGAGATTGGGACTCGGACGAGATCTCGCGAGCTTATGAATATCAATACCGCGAGATCTCGCCAGTTACGAGATCACGCGAGGTTGACATTTTTGTGTGTTTACTGTTTTAGCTTAATATTTATGAAATCACAATATTTGAATAAATTAGGAAAAATATAGATATTATGAAATAAACATTTACTTTTACGGGTATTTTCAATAAAGTTTTATGTACTCGAATTTAAAATTGTTTGATAAAATTTCATTTTTTTATCTAAAACCTTTAAAAGAGCAATTACTGTATTAAAATCTCAGAAACGGCTCCAAAAATTTTCGTGACATTAAGTATGCAGGGGCTTTCAGATGCGATAATTCGATTTTATAGGTAATTTTTATTTTTATTTTTTTATTTAATTAACGTGCTAAGTATAGCTTAGTCATCCAGGTACTAATCTTTTAAGAAACTTAACTTTGACGTATACCAGATACGAAATGAAATAAACAAACAGTCTTCTCTGCAAATTTCAAACAAAAGTTTCATTATAATTCACAGTTTTTTATTACAAAAATACAAAACTTAATTAAAACTCATTAACTAAGTTGAATTAACTATTAAACTGAGATCATTATCAATGAAAGAAAACTACGTGTCCCTAGAGATTTATTAGAAATTATAGAATAAATAAAAAAAAATATACCGTATGTAAAAATGTAAAACATCGCCTTTTAACCCCCCGGTCTCTCATTTTCGCTAAAAAAGGCCTTTTTAGAATTCCCTTATATATACTAATATTATAAAGGGTCAGATTTCTAACTTTATTCGTTTGTAGGGGGTAATATTAGAAAATATTGATTCGATCCCGGTCCGAATTGTTTCACTTACGGGAAGTTACGTCATCCGTGAGTATAAAACGGCTAATTCTATACATATATCACTAGATCTTTTTTTCAACGATGTTTACTGTGATTTTTTTTATAAATTATTTAATAAAAAGCTTTTTTTTTTAATATGTACAATTTTCTTTAATTATAATACAATAAAAATTAACTCGTGAGCCATTTCACATCCGCAACACCAAGCTCGGTGAGTTTCTCCGCGATCCTCGCTTTGGCCTCTGCTGATATCGGCCTCTGAGGTAAGGCCGGTGGGCCCACGTTTATACCTGTCACGATCTCCATACCTGCCTTCATTATTGGCACCCATGCACCTAGAATGTTACAGGAAAACATATATATATTGATAATTGGCTACTTGACATTACATTATATGTTGGAAGTGGCAATTTATATGTAAACTATGAAAATAGTAATTTTGTTTTAAAATAAATTGTAAGTATTTTTTGCAAAATTAACTTGATATTTATAATATGTAGATTACAAGAATTGAAACGCATGTGCCCATGATGGAGCGTCGTGTGACGTCACATTTCAATAAACTAAGCTTTGCGATATCATGTGCCAATTTAAATTAATGAATAAAAAAATGGTAGTAAAATAAATCTGTTAATGTTTCAATATGATAATGATTGAAAATATTTTTTCCAGAACAGTATAGTACAGTTTATTTAAAAATACAAAACAAATATATGAAGATCCTACCGATAAACCCTCTCCGTAGATATGTAGTATATTATAGTTGTACTCACCTTCACACGTGTGTGCTTCTATAGCTAAACTGAGTTTCTCCTGTAGATTGCGAGCGAGTAGAACGTCGTTACTCTCAACAGCTTGTAGGATCTGTTGAGCGAGAGCCGGGAACAAGTTGAATGTGGTACCGATACTGGACTTGATACCCAACAGAGCGGCAGGAGCTAACAACTGAAAACATTATCACTCTTTATACACTAGTTAACCACGCCAATATCTGGTTTACACATGTGGGGTAGATAAGTAGTTAACTAAATTGTCAACTTAATTTTGGGTGATTTTGTTGTTGTACTTAATCATTTAAAATTAACCACTTATCATTAATTTGATAAGTGGTTAATTAATATGTGGAACTTAATATGTGGAAACCAGCCGTAAAGTCAACTTAAAATCACAATTTAACAATCTAACACCGTTAATAAAAATAAGTTACAGGTTGTAACGTTTAAAATGGTCAGTATAAGAAATTCTGAGACTATAAAGTCTAAAGACGACCTCCGTAACCGAGTGGTTAGCACGCCTATTTCAAGGTTTTGCCGTCTCTGAAGTCCCGGGTTCGATTCCCGGTCGGGTTAATGTAGAAAAAGAACTTTTCTATATTATCTCAAGTCTGGGTGTTGTGGTACCTTCATTGTCTCACACTCCATAATACGAGGGCTTTAGCTACTCATCTTGAAATATGAGCAATATATGTGATGTTGTCTAATATTTGTTTATATAAAAAATGTGCTTTATAAAATATACAACAATGACATGTCATTGATTTAGTGACAAGAACACTACATACATACATTGGCCTGGAAGAAATCACATTTTTGTGATAAGGTCGCCAATTGTACATTTCAATTTATTGTATCCATTTTTTTTTCTTGAAATTAATAAATAAATAAATATTTGTTTTGTCCATTGGTGTAATTTTCGATCATTCATTCATTAAACAACTTTACTATGACAAAATTGACTAGATGCATCAGTGCGAGCGCAATAGCAATATGTTTGCGTACTAGTGAAAGAGATATATATACTACCGAGTCTTTGTTCGGCATTCTTTCTGTAGGGCGGCATCCGCGCCGTAAAATATATGAAAGCTTTTTTTCTAAAATTTATGAATATATGAAATCACTCACAGTGTCAGCTCCCAAAAAGATCTCCTGGCCTTCCTGTAAACTCCTGAGGACTTGAGACGCTTCACTCAAGTCGTTCGACGTGAATTTTAATCCCTTGAAGTTTGGTATGCGTGCTGTGGCCGCCGTCACAAATTGAGGCATATTGACTGGAAATAAAGTTCAATTTTAATGTTAACAAATAATCGAAAAATACGTATCCCGCCAAAAACGCTTATGATAAAAAAAACTTAATAATATATATCAAGTGAACAAAAGATCAGTTTTCACCTCTGGATTTAAACCTTAGTTTCTTGACAATTAAACTCAAAATGTAATACAGTGGCTTTTTCTAGTACTGTGTGTCGTATAAATATAAAGTCTGTCTTTTGACAACCGCCGTGTTAGAATAGCTCGCCTTGAGTTGGATACGATTTATAATCGATTAACGAATGAATCTTATTTATTGCATTAAATATGGATTATAAAAGTGTCATATATTTTACAATAACTGAAAAAAAATACTATTTTTAACATGGCTTGATGGGGGCCTTGTACTTAATAAATAATGTTTTTTATTATATAAATATTTAATTTATTTTTTCTGTTCCTTTTTTTGGTATTTTTTGTGTCAACTGTCCAACTATCACAGTTCATGAGATAAGTACAGCCTGGTGACAGACGGACGGAAGGACAGAGGAGTCTTAGTAATGTTTACATTTTTACTCTTTGAGTACTATAAAAGTACCGTTCGACAATTATTATTATTAAACTTATGATTTCATTACGTCTTTGTTGGTGTATTATTATGATTACTAAGTTACCAGACCGCTTATTTTATTTTAAACTAGCTGTGCCCGTGACTTTGGCCACGTGAAAAATAACTCAAGTTACTCCTTATTACATAAGCAATCTGCTAGTGACAGTCCCCACGAAATCGGTTCAGCTGTTTTAGAGATTAGCCGGAACAAACAGAAAGACAAAAAAAATGACATTTTTATTACTTTGTTTATAAACATGTGCATTTACTAACAAGCGGTTATTTTAACATTACAAACCGACACTCCAATTAAATTTATACTCAGTAGCGTAGTGGATAAGCGCCGCGGCCCGCAATCCTTGTTGTTAAACAACTTTCGTAAGGGTTGGTCACGGGATGGGTGACCGACCGAAATTATTATACCGAGCTACTCCGTGCTCCGTGCTGCATTGGGCCAGCGTTGAGGGTCATGGTCCATTCTCCTAAACCATCCACAAGGAAAGCCTGAGCCCCTGCAGTGGGGACGTAAAACCAAATCCTCCCCTCTCTAAAGTGTTGCTGTGCCTGTTTGGGTCCATAGGAGTATTGAGTATAAAGGTACTCACTTTCAACTTTAGACATACTCGGTATGTGATAGTAGAGTACAGGCAGAGTGGGCGCGGCCTCGGCTACAAGCTGGACGTACGACACCAGCTCGTCCACCGACTGAGGCTTGAAGTATAACTCCGGGAGGGTCAGGAGAGAGTGAACCCCCGTGTTTGCACAATATTTAGCCTGCCAATAGAAACGATCATAGGCTATTAATATTTATTTATTTATTTAATCTTTATTGCATAGAATAGCAAACGGCAGACTTAATGCCAAGGGCATTCTCTACCAGTCTACCAGACAGAAAGTAGGAAGCAAGATGTATGGCGATAAAGAAAGTAGAAGTACTAAACAAAACAGTTATACCTAAAATAATAAATAAATAGATTTATGCATAATTAAATATTGATATATACGTATATTATAAATATATACTACATAATATCGGATTCATGGAAAACTAAGGACTATTTTTGGCCTTCCGAATGTCTTCTGGCAGAGCATTCCAGAGACGAGTAGAAGTCACAGTAAAGGAGTTTGACATAAAGCTGGTTTGATGAACAGGAGTTTGAAGAGTAATATTACTACTAGAGCGAAGTTCTCGCTGATGACAAGCACCCAAAAACTGGAATCTTTATTTTAGATATCTCGGAGTACGTGGATCGTATAGGATGTATAGGATGTCGCAAATAAGACTGGATCTTGGACAGTTAGTTGCACAAACGTCCATTAACATTGTCATTAGTTTAAAGTGGCATTACCCATACACATTTTACATTCATTAGAGCTTAAAGGCGTCATTAAGCATTAATGGACATTTGTGCAACTTTCCGATAGAGCTTACATAAGTCATTAAAGTTTAATGACGTTTGTGCCACTGACCGAGTTTTTCGAATTCAACTGTAGAGGTTAATGTGGATTAAATGAGCAGCTACATCCAACTTTCAACAGAACTTTTATGGAAATGTTGAAATTTAATTTCCCTGAATCAATCATAGATATTAATCTTGTTTCATGATAAATACCAATCGAAATAATGGAGAATAGATCTGTATCTATTGGCTTATGGCTTATGGATAAGCCAATTGTAGTGGACAAATATACTAAACAAATATCAAGCGTTTTCATTGCCATATTTAAAAGACGCCATCCGCCATATTGTAGCGGCCATTTTGTGATTTTAATTGATCAACCTAGGATCAACCTTTGCAAAACTTATTAAGCGTCACAAACAACGCTCCAACGAACTTGTACACTTCTTAAACAATATTACTTGTTTAGATTTACATTAATAAGACAGCTGTTTACCAATGTTCCGACTACAATTCGAGTTAATCATTGTTCATACAACACTACATAATAACTAAATATTTGTTATAAATACTGATAAAAGTTTTGTTTACATACCTACAATTCTCAATCGTGATATTTATCAGAATAACAAGTTTTTTATTTGAAATCTCAATGTTATTTATTTTATAATAAATAAAACAATAGTAGTTAGCACTCTAGTTCTGCGATACAGTCGTTAAGCAATGGGTGACCAAAAATTTATTATCTCCAGCTCCTCCGTGCTTCGGAAGGCACGTTAATCCATTGGTCTACGGAGGCATCTGCAGTTGTTATCGCCCACCAATCTGTAGTGGGCCCGTGGTGGTGCTTCCGCAATATAAACAATATCATCGGTCCACCTGAGCCTCATCAGGTACGCCGTCGCCATTCTAGAAACTTTGAGCCGCAAAGGCGATCGATTCTTCTCGCTGTGCGTTAATCGATACATATTTAAGATAAAATCCTTATCGCTAATATATTTAATCGGCAATTAAACAAATGCCAATTATGATAACTTATCTATAATCTATTCAAAACTATTAATTCATATCTTTACCATAACCCAAATATCATTAAATAAATAATGTTATTTCAAGCTTTCACGGTCATTTACGTTAGAATGATATTTTTTTCACGGGATTTATCTATCAAATCAGGTAATATTTACGTGATGAGCATATCTCGACTACTTGTATTTTACCATTGTAATATCTACCTAAGCTCCAATAATATTAGTGCAATGTCTTCCTCATATATCAATCATCATCATCATCATCACCAGACCTTTTACGTCCCCACTGCAGGGGCTCAGGCCTTCCTTATGAACGGTTAAGGAGGATGGGCCATGACCCTCCACTCTGGCCCAATGCGGATTGGAGGGTATTAACGACTGCAAATGCAGCCGGGACCAACGGCTTAACGTGCCTTCCGAAGCACGGAGTAGCTCGAGAAACTAATTTATTGGTCACCCATCCCGTGACCGACCCGTGCGAAAGTTGCTTAACAACAACGATCGCGGCCCGCGGCGCTTATCCTCTACGCCACCGAGCTACTTCGATAGTGACAGAAATATTATTATATTGGACTTAAGGTGGATAGTACAATGGCGATATGCTAGTTTATAAACATTATCAGAATTGGCCTGCTACGGTTGAATCTTCATTAGCTCAGAGCAGATCAACCCACAAGATCAACCAATGCTGCCAATGACTGAAAGTACGTAATTAAAATGTATAATGAATCTTGTTTCTATAACCATAAGGATAAAAATACGACCAATTAGATTAGATTACTCATTATATCATTATATGTTATTTTAAATAACATACCAATAGAAGTACATCAGCCAATGGTGCCCCACCAACTTGCACCATGATGTGGAGTCCTGTACTCTGCGATGCTTCGACCCATTCATCTATCAGCTTCATCCTGTCCACCACTCTCATTGACATGTTCTCACCCGTAGTACCGCCGACTGCATAACATATTAGAAAAATATTATAAACACTGCGTAATTAAATAAAGTGTTTAGGTGAATCCCAAGATAATTATTTTTGTTCAATTCCATGGTCCTTTTTTTTTAACTACAATTATGAAATCTTAAAGAAAAGAAGAAGAAGAAGATTATGTCGTTTTGCTTGTGCTGATGGCAGTAGCGGACTAACCTCGTCGGAGGCCTGGAGCGGAAATAACCAGGGCAGAAACTTGCTATTACGTAACCGCCCCCAAATCGGAATGCCGCTTATAAAGAAACCTAAAATTTCCTATTGCCAGCACAAACTCCCACATTAATACAATTTTCACTCACCCAGGACAGCTTTGATACCAGCATCGACTAGATACTGAGCATAAGAGGAAATGGCGGGAAAGTTGATCGATCCATCGCTATGTAGAGGCGTGAAAACTGGAGGCACAAGGCCCCGCGCTTTGAATTCCACCTGAAAAATGTTTTCATGATAACGTACACACAGAGGCACATCGCTTAGCTGACGCTCTGAAGGATATATCAAAGTGAAACCCCTTTTTAAATAAGGAAAATACGTTGCGCATAATGCCCAAAGTCTCCAGTGCGGGTCGGCGAGATTTTATAGGACTGCTCTGCCAGACCCACCCCCGAAAGGGCTAGTCAAAGGGCAGATGTATAACCACTAAAAGCTCGTAGACCACTCAAAATAAAGCCCTGACTGATCAATTAGAATTGGTCTGTCTGTAAAAAGGTCTGTCTGAATTCTAGAGCATTACCTGTTCAGTCTGCTGGAAGGCAATATGTTAGCCTGACCATTCAAGAAAGATTTACTTGATTACTAATTTACGCAGAAGAGCTGACGTTACTACAAAAAGCCAAACTTCTCCAATCAAGTTTGAGCCTATCAACAGACAAAGCTCTTTAGCCATTGTCCAATGACCTTTGATATGTATTTGCTCGGTAAACAACACTCTTAAAAGTATATCTGCATAAAGTATTTTGTCAGTAGCCAACCGATGCGGGAACAGTAACGTGCATTTATTATGTTTTTTTTTTAATAAATAATTAACTATACAAATAAAACTTTGTTGACAAATAAAGTCTCACCATTTATAAATAATTTTATCTTGCCGTGAGTTATCTCCTGCACAGAGCGAACGACACTGATCAAAAGTACTCGTATACTCAAAATAACATCAGTTCAAGTGTTATCGCAAACAAATATTTATTATCTACATAGCTAATTTGTTATCAAAAAAAATAGAAAGGAACATAGCAAACGCAATTATTATTAAGGTTCGGTCACACTGAGTGGATTCATCTATACATGTGTACTGATTAGTTAGGGGCCGTCTATTAATCACGTGATGTTTTTCAATATTTTTTAACCGCCCCCTTGGTGATATAGGGTGAGGTTTAAGACTACCCCTCTCCCCCACTACGCAAATCACGTGAATTTTAGTACCTATAGAATATCTTAATTTTTGACGTCGCTTTTCGGTGTAGTAATCGCGCGTGTGGGGAAAAAATAAGGACACGTGATATATTACAACACCCCCCCTCCCGACTGTGATATTTCGTGATTTTTGATGACGGGCGGCGGACTTAGAAGTCTCGTTTTATGGGAAGGCATGTAGTATAACATCGAGATATATAAAGTGAGTTCTTATTCAATATTACGTGATACGTACTTCGGAAGAAACGTGGACTATCCTTAAAGGGTCGTTCTGTTCTGATGTCGTATTTATAGGATCAAAATCATCTTCTTGCTTACAAAGGCTGTTTGTTGAAAGGGTTGAATCCTGCATGGTAAGAAATAGAAATTGAATATTACGTATATATATTAGTTTTTTAACCGAATTGATAATTACTGCTCATCTCAAAGGTTTTGTATGAGTAATTAATATCAACTGCCAGACTTCAATACAAGTTAGGGTGGGCGTACCAGTTACAAACCAATTAGGTAAGTGATATTTAAAAAAAATGATGTTGTGACTCCATTATAACAACAATCATCAATAAAAAAAGTGTAACATACTCCTTATCTACCGTAAAATCATGTAATTTATTCAATTTTTCTCAAAAGCTGTTAGGTATCTTTTATTTAAAAATAAATGGTTGCCCAGATTGTAAATAAAACAATAGCTTCAAATTAGGAAATTTATAGAATTGTCATAGAATCTTCATGGTTTGAAGTTTTCGAAAGAAACTTTTGTCACAAGGTATCTATGATGTTCTCCTTTTAAAAACTACCGCGAAAATTCGAGTTTATAAGGGTATAAGTTTTTACATCTCATAGTAGTAAAAAAGAAATGAGTTCGTCCTGTCTTAATTTATTATATTTTCCAACTCGGAAGTAAGGGCACTTGTGCACTACACTGAATATTCAGGCCCGACCGTCCAATTTTTTGCGGTCCGGAATGACATGCACGTACAGAATACACGTACACTTACGCTAGCGTATATTCCAAACGACGTTCCAAAAATCTTATCGTACCTAGGTACGATAAGATTTTTGGAACGTCGGTAATATCTTGCTTTATTACTCTGCGTGCGAAGACGTAGAAGACGTAGAAGACAGAAAATATTAGGTTCATCCCCTTATAAATTAAATAATGACCTGACACAGTCATTTTACATAAACTATAATAAATTGAGACAGGACGAACTCATTTATTTTTTACTACTATGAGACGTAAAAACTTATACCCTTATAAAATTTAGCATTATTTACATAAAAAGCTAAAATATCTGTGTAATTCGAATAAAATTACTGATAATGTTCACGTACTTCATGTTCAAATTTATAATCATGAAAATTTTCTTGTCGAAGTTTTGTAAAAATAACTTCAAGCGATTACAGACAGATCAATCGTTGATACCGTTTCGTAAACAAAACGAAATATGTGCATTTAGTATAGTTACTTTGAGCAGGATTCTTTTTCATTTAGAATACTTTTGTTATCAATTATTTATTTATACTTATCTTATTAATTGACTAAAACCAAATTTTTGTAATGACAAATTTCCATGCAAACTTTCATCCTCTATTTCCACCTTTTTTCGTGATAAAATATAGCCTATGTCCTTTCTCAAGGTTAAGTCTATTTCTATATTAATTTCCATTTTTAGTTTCAGTTGTTTAGGCGTCTAAGCGTAACAACACTTATTTATCTTTCTTTAAATTATCGATAGTTTTGATACCATTTTAGAATTTAGTTAAGTATCGATACTAGAACCATACGCTGATCAAATTAAAACTATATCGAGTTTGCCAAAGCATATGCAGTGATATTTACCAACTATATTAAATCATCATATAAAATATTGCATTTTATAATCTAAAATATACAGCGTGTTTGGTAATACCTGTATAATCCCGAATATGGCACATACGGTATGATGAATAGAACCCAGAAAAATGATCACTAAGTCTGAAACCCGGCACATGACTTAGATATTTAACTTTTTTTTTTCGAAGTAAAACTGTACGCTGACCACCCTAAAAACAGCTGTTGTTCTAGGAAACGAGAGAGAGTGAGAGTTAATGAGAGTAAGAGAGCGAGTACGCCGGGACGGCACGTATAAGCTTTCAGAGTTGTAGTATATTAATTGAAAACAAATTGTTCAAATATTTGTATGAAGATCTCAATTTACGTGAAATTGTTTTTTGACATATTAATTGTGTTCTTTGTGCTAGATTGTATGGCCATGTTTCGGGATTATACATGTATCGGGATTATACTAAACATCCTGTATATCGATTATCAGTATATCGAAAATTAACAATATCGCCGAAATAAATATCGATTTTTCATAAATCGTTTATTTTGCCTATTCCGCAGGCTCATGAATTTTCCGAATCGCGGAAATAGCAGTGCACAAGCGTAAACACTTTTTTCATTGCCGCCATCACGGACCTGAAAAAACCGGTCCGGAATAGAGAAAAGCAAAATTCCGGACGATAAAATTCCTGACAGTGCACAGGCTAGCATTACCTACATATGGCCTGACATAACGGACCGGAAAAAATCGGACCGCCGGACCTAAAATTCAGTGTAGTGCATAAGCGCCCTAACGCGGCAGAAACTGAAAACACATTCGGACAATTGGACAATTTATAAAAAATAGGCGCATTCATAATGACGGCCTAATTCGCATCAAATATCGCTGGAAAGTAATCAGTATATAAAAACTCACTCATCTTAAAGGCGGTTCGCTCATTCGTGAAAATTATACAAAATCACCACCCGGCCTCAAATAATATGTATGTTTATGAAAATTATTTGAATTATTAAGTATTCTTTTTCAGGTATTGTAAGTCGGTACTTTTTTATATACATATACATACGTCACTAAAGGTAGAGGTGATGTTAATTGAGTTTGCTTGACTAGATGATGGTTCATCTTCATCTTCTTGCTTCGTGTAAAAATATCTTGAACCCTGTTTTAAATAACAAAGTTTTATTAAACCTATATCAGAAAAATTTAAAAGACGAATGGTCTAATAGGCGCGCGTTGTCCAATTAATATAGTCAGATGTCGCAGTAACTAATGGTAACAACATTTTCATTATGCAGTTGTTCCAAAGTCTATAGGTAATAAGCAGTGGTCGGAATTAGGTAGAGTTATTCATGTACTTACACTGATTTCATACAGCGAAAGAATAAAGTGGATATGCCTCAAATCCCGAGATTAATTTTAAAGAGCAGAAAAAATCCGGTGAATTTTTAAATAAAAAGTTATGCACGCACGATGTTGCCAAACTTACATCAATGAAAGAAAGAAATAAAGAAATGCCGGGAAGGTCCACATTAATATCAACATTTCGATGCAAGTACATAAATAACTACCTAATTCCGACCTCTGATAATAAGTTATGGAACACTAGTGAAAAAAGTAGCTAATTGTGGTCACCGTGGGGAAAACTGACCGTTGATTAATAATTGTCACTAGAACTCGCATAATGAAATTTAATTGAAAAAGTTCCGTACATTTTAAGGCAACAAAGAAGTCTTAATTGGACGTGCATTCCCACTTTTCGACCACCTGATCGAAAACTGAATGTTTTAATTCCTTTATTCAACCACCTCATTTTAATAGTTTAGTAATGAAATTCACATTAAAATCTAATTAATCCTGATAAGAGGTCGAAAACTAGCTGCAAAAACAATAAATAAACCAAAATGAGAACTTGCTTTCAAGGTATTGGCACCTTACTATATATATATATATATATATATATATATATTTATATATTTTGCTAATATATGACGCGTGTGACGCTGTCCGCTGCAACCCCTATGGCTAAGTGAATTGTATCATGTTATGGTACATGTTAATATTTATTAATAATTATGACTATTGAAAAAAAGAAATGGAGGAGAGTAATGTAGCTATGGATATGTTACAAATAAAGATGCTTTGTCTCTCCATAAGAAAATATCAGCTTTTTTCTTGCTTAATTTCCAGCTTTGTAAACTGACTTCAAAAAATGAAGGTTATCAATCTTTTTAGGAGGTTATCAATCTTCAATGAAATCAAAACAAAAAGTGACATGAAATCAAAATAAAAACTTGTGGTGTTCTCTCTTTTCAGTTGTTTCTCTTAATTATGATTTTTTAAAGGCAGTTTAATTGTTTTTTTATTATTTTTTGCATTGATATCTCTGTATGCTTGAATTTGTGCCAAAATAAAAATGTAGGCAATTGAAATTGGCAAGGCAATTTTTTCTATGATAACACCTGAATTGACTTGTAAGGGAACAGCATATGCAATTTTATTGCCAAATTAGCTTTGTCTTCCCCTGTTTGAAGTGTTGGTACATCTGGAAATAATAAAATCAGTGTCTAAAAATAATAATACTCCAAATATGTTAGTAAAGATTAAATTGGTACTGACTGAGTAGTGTTAACGAAAAGTTAAAATTAGTACACTTAAGGCCACAATACCTGATTTAGACGGTAATACTGTCGGTTCTCTCCTAACCCTTCGAATGGAATATGGCCTCTTTGGCTTTTTCAAAGTTGACCGAGTAGAACTCGGTGATAACTTTTGCCTTTTTTCACTATTAAAATTAAATTTGGTGGGAACTACGTTAGATTTCATTTTAACTTTTTTTACAGATCCCATTATTTTGTATTCCATATAATTTTGCATATCTTGTTCTAACTGAAATAATAAACATTTAATTATAAATTTTTGATGGTTTTCTAAATTATTGTAAAACTAAGTTACTAGCAACTTTATATATTTGCTACTCAGACCAAATTTTGTCTGAGATCGGCTGAGAAGGGATAGATAGTTAATAAATAGCTGTAAAGTTTTACTTACATTAAAGTGATCTTCACATAGATACAATCGACTTTTACTTGATAATGATTTTGGATCTCTTTTTGCGAGTTCTAACCAAACATCCCTCAACACAGCATCATCTGGCACTTGAATAAATAACTTATTAGGAGTTCTAATGGTAGTATTTGTACAACTAGTCACCAAACACCAACGATAGCTATTGGAATACATTGTTTTTTAGAAAAACACCGACTAATACGTAATTAATTTGTATAATCCACGTGCGCTTTGTTTACGTTGTTGTACATACCAGTATGACGTCAAAATGTCAATAGACCTATGTAGTTTGTGATGTCAATAGACAACAAACCAAACGTCACGTCATGAACATGGCGGTGTAGATAGAGATGCGACGTACTAGGCCAAACGCGTACTGAGTCTTGCAAGTACGAGTATGCCAAAATACTTATTCCATATAACTATTCCACGAGTATTTAGAGGTACGCATTTTTAGACAGCGTAATCCTCCAAGACCCGTGAGGTTTGATTCGAAGTCATTGTCGGTTGGGAGTTGTAGTTATTCATGTACATGAATAACTTTATTTTGATGTGAAAAAAGAAACTTGACAACTGAACAAGCATTTAGTAAGAAAACATCGAAATGTAACTCTTTGGGGATTGCACTATGTATACCTACCTTACTATCTTTTCGATTACATCTGTAAACATATACATATATTGGCTCTATTCAATAATTATGCATTTGTAGTTATTGTTAGTATCAAGCTTAGTAAACATAAAATAAAGTGGCGAATTATATTAAAATAATTAAAGTAAAAACAAAACATCTTAAACGGCAGTTAAAGTGGAAGACACATTTATTTATTTATTTAGACTTCTTTGCACAAATAAAACGTACAAATGGCGGACTTAATGCCAGCGGGCATTCTCTACCAGTCAACCGGAAAGTTATGGAATAGATACATTAATAAGGCGGTGCTACAAAAAAAAAGTCAATATAGACACATATACAATTTAAAAAAAAAACAAAATATTGGAATATACATAACAAACATATTACATATCATAAATAATAAAAAAATTAATTACATATAATACAAACATACAAAAATATTACCCATTTCAAGTTAATTAAAATCAGTTGGAGAATTCGGAAGTTTCTCACGTAACAATCGTTTGAAAGTTAATTTATTAGGGGCAGCTTGAATATGGGGAGGGAGTGCGTTCCAGAGTCGTATAGCCTGAAGCGAGAATGAGTTTGAGGTGAACCCTGTATGGTGAAAAGGTGTGGCGAGAGTTTCTTTGCTGTCTAAGCAAAGGTTGCAGTAGTGAGAAGCACCTAGAAACTGAAACTTACGTTTCAAATATCCAGGCGCACATATATCTTTAATGATAGAATAAAGAGTAGAGAGCATCCTCAGATCACGACACTGGCGAATAGTTAGCCATTTTAACTTTTTCCTAAAAGAAGAAACATGATCGTATTTCCGAAGACAGAAGATAAAACGTATACACATTTCTCAAATGTTAACATACATTTTATTTATGTTAGTTTCTAATATATGGCGTTATAGTTTTGTGAGATGGCTGTTTTAAGGGTTATGGCATGTACGTACAGTGGGTTCTCCCACAGAGTTTAGCTTGTATAAGTTAATTTCATAGAGAATTTATGCTCAACATAAATCAAATATCTGATAAATAAATATAATGCATAATAATAAACAATAAATATAACATAACAATGTAAGTTAATTAGTATATTATATAATTAGATAAATTGGTTCCAAATTGAGACAATAGATAGCGCTATGCCATTATGAATCGCGGTATGATCTCATTTCTATACGATTTATACAAACTTTTGTGTCTTATTTATTAATCAAAATTTTAACTATTGCCGTAAATAAATTGTATGGCTAAATTTCAGTTTTCGATAAACCCAAACTCTAGACTACCATTTGATCACATTCAATAAATTAAATAAATAGTCCAATCACCCCAACAACCATAAAAATATTATAATATTCTTTTTATTATTACGCGTAGGCATCTATTAAGTACTAGTTTTTACAATGGTAATCATTACGAAATGCCGAAACAACTGATTTGATTAATCAAATACACGACAAGCAAAGATCCAAGCTAGAAGCTAGATTATAGATTTTATTTACATTTAACACGTGATGGCGCCGGACGCTTACCTAATTACTGTACAAACAAAAAGCGATTTTATCATATAACGTTAAGGTTGATCGTAGGAATAGGAATTGATTCACTCAAACTAACATCGAACGCGACCGCGTCTTCGCGTCTCGGATTCTCCGAGTTTGTGTGAGTACGATACTTCTAAATACTCGATACGCGTTGATTACTTATTCGATACTTAGTATTTAGACGTTCAAGCAAAATGTTATTCCAGTAAGTACGCCTCATTCCTCGTGTAGATACCGCTTTCACGGGAAGAAACTTTTGATGTTCAGGAAAGATTTTTTTCTGCTAAGCACATTATACAAGTTTATGTATGTAAACTTTTTTTTGTGTAATGTAGTTGTGTGTATACATTTATATTGCAAAATCTATGGTTGCAATCAAGGACCCTCTGAAAAAGGAACCAGGATAGGGCATTTACACACTGCATTGATAACGGCATTCCAAACGTGACCACACGACATGATATGATGACACTTATTCGTCATCTAGGACAACAATGATATCGTTACGAACAATATCGGTATGTGACACGATTTAATAGAGCTTGCTCAGCAGTAAGTAACTACGCGATTACAAAAGTGTAATAGAGTATTCGAAGTAATAATGACTATTTAAAGTGGCTATAAGACATTTTTCAATTGTGACCGACCATGAGGACGCCTTCTGATCGTTTTGAAAAGCATGTCAAAGCTAGAGAAACGCTTTATCTGCAATAAACTTCACTCTCGATAGTGAGTTATCGTATGGACACACTCAAGAAAAGTGAAACTGGGGGGTAGATAAAACGCTCTCGTGCTCGTCAAGCTACGCATACAGGAGCCACCAGTGGCGTAACTATACCGTTTGAGGCCCGTGGCAAATTCATCGGATATCCAATTATTTTTTTAGTATTTGTGTTATAATAAGTGTCAGGAGTACGGAGTCTCCTCTGACCGGGGGCACCTTCTAGATGGGGGCCCGTAGCATTTTGCCGACTTGCCATCCTGTAATTACGCCACAGGGAGCCACCATTACACGAAGAAGAACACCCTTATAAATAAATTTATATTCTGAATCTGACTCACGAAAGTTTCACGTCTGTTTCACTACAAACACGCATCGACTGGGCGATTAAAAATCATAATATTACATAATATTACTGAGACGTATTTACTGAAATAAGTTTCTGGAACAAATTTTTGCTTGAACGTCTAAATATTAAGTATCGAATGAGGAAGTATTTAAAAAATAAAGAAACTACAAACATTTATGTCACTAGATGGCAGCACAAATTATTGGATCTAAACGTAATTCATGACGTTAAATCAAAGAGAATAGAACTGTTAGTATTGTTATGGATCTGATAACTTGGATTAATATCGAGTTGAAATGTAATAAGTTCGAGTTATGCAAAAGCAACTCGATTAATACAAAGTAATCTTTGAATAAATTTCTTTTTTATTTGTATAGAGATTGTACAGAGGTTTTTTTAAATTTATGGAAATCAATTGAATTAATGCTGTGATATATTTAAAAGTAACATTTAGCTACGGTATTCAATATTATTACCGCCATAATATTACTAGGAATTTTTCATTGTAATATGATGTGATGTGATGTGATGTGATGTGATGTGATGTGATGTGATGTGATGTGATGTGATGTGATGTGATGTGATTGATGTGGTGTGATGTGGTGTGATGTGGTGTGATGTGGTGTGATGTGATGTGGTGTGATGTGATGTGATGTGATGTGATGTGATGTGATGTGATGTGATGTGATGTGATGTGATGTGATGTGATGTGATGTGATGTGATGTGATATGATATGATATGATATGATATGATATAATACAGCGTGTTTGGTAGTACATGTATAATCCCGAAACATGGCCATACAACCTAAAACAAAGAACACAATTAATATGTCAAAAAACAATTTCACGTAAATTGAGATTTTCATACAAATATTTGAACAGTTTGTTTTCAATTAATATGCTACATCCCTGAAAGCTTATACGTGCCGTCCCGGCGTACTCGCTCTCTCTCTCATCACCTCTCACTCTCTCTCATTTCCTAGAATAGATACACTTTCATGTTGCCGACGCGCACACTCGACTGCCTATGAGTTTATTTGCAACAAAATAAACATACGAAAATAGGTAAGCACCTATTCGATAGGTATTTATATAGTTTTCAGATATTTTATAACGAATAGTTCCATAATTTATTATTTTCTAATTAAAACAATTTAAGATTAAACAGGTACATACCTAGAGGCAGTGTTCTAATCACTTTTTCAGCTCTCACTTGTCAACATTACCTACACTTCACCTCCACTTTATCAGTCCAGGGTCTCGATGTGCCGGCCACCGCATGAAACACACATCTCCATTCGACTCGACACAAACAGTGTAACAACTCTCGACGTAAAATCATATCTCGATGGAATAGGTGTTCGGCCGGCCTTCCTGTGGCACATTATGGAATGAACCAGTTGTATGTAACCGATTCACAAGTGCCACGAAGCACCGGTTAGAAGGAAGACGTCGACGGTTTTCCTGACACGTGGCGCTCGTCATAAAGCCGCCGCAGCAAGATTACCGTCACAAGCACCAACACACATTATCATCTCGTTATATTCGGCATTTGAGTACGAACTCATTGTACTGACCGCGCACAAACACAACACACAGGTAAACAGAACGAGTATTAAAAACAAACCAAAGTCCCCAAAGAACGATAACGTAAGTTGACTTTCTAAACTCTGAAAATTCACGAATACACCGGTGAAAGTCTCGGACGTGACTGAAGCGATGACCAAAACTACATAGGTACACAACTCGAACACCAATGTACCTAAATCAAAAAATCACCGATTTAGAGTTCCACGTCATCAAATTCTGTGTTAGGTAGGTACCTAACGAAATCGTTATATTTTTATTTGATTAAACAATAAAACTTCAAAGTAACTCATTATACAATTTTTTTACCGACGAAATTATTAATTAGGCTGTTTGC